TCTCGAAGTACATCACCTCCGAGGAACTCCCTGAATCTATCAAGATTCTCTTGACATCGAATTCCCTATCTTTAGGGTTAAGACAAGGGCGTCGTTATGAGGAATCACCACGCCCGTCAAATCCGCGTCAGAGAACGTAATGCCAAGCTCACCCATCCTGGCCCTTTTACTTGATGGCCCCACACCTCCTTCGGCTACCTTTCTGGTAAAAGCTACCCTCTTGAGGTCGGATTCGAGCTCTTTGGACGTGGGGCGCTCCAGTGGACACACATGGATGACGTCTATGACGTTGTTTGGTTCCTCGGTCGGGGCAGGGGCTCGTTTTTCTTCTGGCCTAGGCTCTATGTATTCTTTCAGGTATCCATCTCGGACTAAGCTCTCCAAGAATGACTTGAACACCCTGCAGCTCTCGGTGCGATGCCCGACATCCCGGTGATATGAACACCTTACTGTTTGATCACGGGTGGAGGGGTCGCTTTGCATCCTGGGCGGCCATTTGAAGAACGGCTCGCGTTTGATTTTATGGAGCAACCTGAAGATGGGTTCCTTGAAGACGGTGTGAACTCCTCTGGACGAACCCCCTGGACGGGGTAGCAATCCCTTCCGGGAATATCTTCGTGCTCTTTTTCCTTTCTCTTGGGTTGGAGGGCTCGGCCTTTGTTGCTCCCCATCTCGTCCTCGACCCTTGAGTACTTGTTGATCGGGCCATCAGTTCCCCCATATCCGAGGGAGTCTTTTTGGTCAGGGATCGGTACAGGTCCGTGTCCCTCGCCAAGCCGAGCCGGAATGATGCTGCTGCCATGACCTCCGAGCATCCCTCGACCTCATTGACTTCTTCCCAGTATCGGATGGCGTACTGGCGAAGAGTCTCGGATTCCCTCCTCCTGAGGGTCAGCAGTGATCCAATGTCCTTTGGGCGCTTACTCCCCGTGATGAATCGGGTTAGGAACTGCCTTGTCAATTCTTTCCAGGACCCAATACTGTTTGGGGGAAGCGCCTCGAACCACCTCATCGCGGAGTCCCCCAAGCTCATAGGGAACACCCGGCATAGAAACCGTTGGTCCGAATGATAGAGGGACATCATCTGCTTATACTGTCTGATATGGGCATCGGGATCAGATCGCCCATCATAGGTCTTGAACCGTGGCACGACGAACTTTCTTGAGACGTCCATCTCGCTGATTTCCCTCGTGAAGGGTGTTTGCATGACTTCGTCCTCGGCCTCGTCCTGGATCGTCTTGCCCTTTCTTCTGGAGTCTAATCGGGCTCTGAGATCTACTTCCCTTACGGGATGCCTCCTGAAGTCTCTGGGTTCGTCGGTAAGCCCCTCGTTTCCTGGGCGTCGTGTAGATTGGGTTGAGTCCTCCTCGGATTCATCTCCCTTCCTCCGTCTGGATAAACCTCGCCGGAGGTCGTCCAGGGCCAATGGCCTTGCTTTCCTGGAATGGTTGTCAAGATGGCATTCGCCGGCTTTGGGTCGCTTCGGGGCCCTGGAGCTTTCTGCTTTGTGATCCAGGTGGTTCCTTAGATCCTTTGTCTCCGCCTCATGGACGGGGAGTCCTCGGGAGAGGAATGAATCCCTCGACCCTCCGCCTGAGGCAGCAAACTCGTCGAGCCGGCTAAGGACGTTTACATTGTCCTTCTCCAGCTGACGTAATCTATCGCCAAATTTCTCTTCAATCACCTCTGCCAGCTGACGGGCCAAGGGGGCTGATCCTCCTGACCTGATACCCATACTGGTTTGAGGGGTTACCCCCCTTGACCGAGTAGAGGCACTTTTAATCGTACTGGTGCGATCCCTCCCTCCGTGATGGCAGGGAGCTTGCAACTCATGACTCCGTTGGTGGGGTCCTTTCCCTTTCTGTCTGGTGTTCACCATGGTCACTGTTCTTTTTAGAGAAAAGATTAGGAAAACTACTCGTTTCCCACAGACGGCGCCAGATTGTGCGGGCTTGATCCTGCACGATATATATAAATATTGGGAACAGATCTCTCCCCTGGTGAACTTTGGGTGAGCCGGTTGAGTGGCCAAACACACTGCTCGAAACAGCTTACGATCCTGGGAAAGGAGGAACGATCCTGTACGTGCGAAAGGTATTTCCTGGAACAAAGGAGAACAAGTTAGAAGGGCGCCGGAGTGTTTTCCGGCGTATCCCCTCCGACGGTCTAGTCAGTCTTTGAATGAGAGAGAGGAAGGAGAAAACACTGAGAAGGATTTTTCGTAGTGAGAGTTTGTGATTGCATACCCGCTTTGTCTTTTGGGAGGGGTATTTATACCTTAGAAGATCATGATTGCTGTCAGTGTGGTCAGTAGGTGATCATCAGGCACAGGTAGCGTGTGTAATCATTTGATGAGGAATGTCTTCTCTAATTGACTGCTCGGGGTCCCGAGCAATCAATGGTGAGTTGTCGGGACGCCGACGGTACAATATGCTCCTTTCGGGAAGGATGCAATAAATGCTCTGTAATAGGAGCATTTATTGCCTTTCATATCCGAACCTTACCGCATTGAATGCGGTCTCGTCAACAGAAGGGTGCAATTAATTGTTTGCTTTCCCAAGTCGCGTGTCAGCAGCGGCATGCGGTTTGTCTGCTTCGGATGTGACATTATTTGCCACGCGTCCATCCTTATTGGCTGTTACGTCGGTATTCCAGCACGTTCTGACATTACTTGTGTAAGAAGAGGTCATGATGAATAGTCCATACTGGCATAGGCTGATGTCCAGTATGTCAGTAGCTTTATCCGGGAGTAGAGGAAGCGTCCAGGATGGAGTGACCCTCGGCGCCGAGGAAAGGCTCACCTCGGGGGACCAAGGGGGGGTGGTGTGTTCCGAGGTACATGGTGACCGAGGACACATGTCTTGTATAATGTACCGAATATGTGATCCTATATGAGAGGTACCTCGGGGAGAGGACGCCTTGCCGATGGTGCTTGAACCCGAGCAACATTGTTCTAAAAACCCCCGAGGACACGTGTCTTCATCATAGGCTTTTTCCTTTTCAGAAAGTCCCCATTCAAGAGCAAATGGACAACTGTGAATGCGGCTGCTTTAATAACATCCGCTTCCATCAGTCTTGAATAGAGCTTTGCAAGGCCAGCAACAAAGTTACAATAATCTCGACCCACCACCCCCACTCATGACGCTTCTAGATGCAAAGCTTTGTACGCATAAAATTAATTTTGTAATAATAAGAGGGCTCTCGTCTTACCATGTTGGCATTGGTCTACTGAAGTTGCACAAGCTTATCATCAAGTTGAACCAACTCAAATTGCTTCTGATAATTTGGTTACCAGCTCCTTACACCACACCTCCTTAAGTTTGGCATGATTTCTATTGAAACAAATCCCCCAATCTTGTATCCTTAAAACTCACTTCATAACAAATCCCTCGACATGTCCGTGTTCTACTTATTTGAAAAATCTCATGTCGGCGTGTTTGTGTCGTATTGTATCCGTGTTCCACTTTCATGTCCATGCTTCTTAAATGGCAGTTCTTAAGGACACACAAATCAATTTCATTAGTTGCTCAGGAGAAACATCTGTTATTAATAGGAATATTCTTGTTTGGAAAGGGCAAAGTATCTGTACAAGCCGTCCGGACAAAGTGCTTAACCTTATTTGAAATCTTCTCCTGCCAAAGAAATCACAAGCCCTATTGTTGTTTTAGTGCCAAATGGTATTCACTTATGAAAAATATCTGGCATTTCCTTAACAATTCCAAGTCTATGTATTCTGTAGAAACGACTGCACTGAATGGAATGTAAAATATGCTAGCTACTTCATGACTAAAGAAAACTGATCATACCAACTAACTGTTCCAGCATTCTCCATCAAAATCTATTAGAAAACCAAAGGTTACAGCTGGATAAAGCATATGTACAGGTGAGATAATTTTGATAGTTGTTTTTAGCACCCTTCTATCAGTAAAGGAGGGATTTGGTCTTAACTGAGCCTCCTAAAAGAGCAAACTTGGGAAACAATGATCTTTAGAAGAGAGTTTTTGATAATGGGAATTAAGTTGAATAAAAAGTTGTTTGATGTTGGTGAATCGCAGTAATTGATGATTGCTAGCAAGGATCAAAATATCGTTTCGAAACGTTTGAAACGTCCGAAACGTTTCTGTTTCCAAGAAGACCAAAACGAAATAGTGATGAAATCGAAATTTTGATATTTTGAGGTATTCTATAATGTTTTTAAATGTATTATAATATTTCAATGTATTTGCACAATTGTTTTAGAATATTTTAAGGTATTTGATGATACTTTAATATATTTCCATCAATGTTTTAAAAAATAATTTTTTTATTATTTTTTTCAATGTTTTCGAAACGGGTCGAAACACGTCGAAGCGTTTCTGTTTCCTAGGTGACCGACACCGAAACAATATTTTAATCCTTGATTGCTAGCAAAATTTCTCATGTGACATCCATTTAGCCTTCTGTTAGGCTGTGTGTGGAACACGGATGCATTTTTTACTGAAACACTTGTATGCACTGAGAGGAATTAATGTAGAGAGAAATATAAGACAGAAAAAAAAAGAGATCAAGAATTGGGTACTAATTGTGAAAACTTTAGGAGGCATGCGAAAGAAGATGAATGTAGGGGAAATAGGTATGTATTGGGGAAAGAGACAGCAAGAATTTTGTCTTGAATTTTCTCAAATGATTCACAGCTGTCTATATATGCACAAAGATTTCATGATTTATTGGTGGTATGAAAGGGTATACTTATTCTCAATGGAGCAAAACTTGTCAAAAATGTTGGTTTTTGGCTTTCTATTTTATAAATTTGGAAAATTGGTTACAGTTCGGGTTTTTGGATATGCTCGAGAATGTTTTCTATGTAGAATAAGACTTCGGTTACAGTATAATGAAATCTGAATATGTACTGTGTTAAGAGTGGTCTCACATAAGTGAAAGAAGGTTAGCATGCAGCTTGTGCTTGAACACAAAATAAACTGACACAGGTTCCTATTTTAGATGGGTCAGCAAGGGAATGGATGGAGGCTATAGAACAAGCTGGGTTAAAGGTAGCCACAGATCCCACTGGCAAAGGCTGTGAAAAACTGGCAGCTTTTCTTAATGAACCTGTTCATATGTGGAAGAATGATTCTTTTATTGCTGCATTCCCATCTCCAAAGGTTTACATCACTTATGGAATTAACTTCCCTGAGGTACACGTTCTGCTGCATTAGTATTTAGTTTGCACCAGTATGGACTTTGGAAAACCAGACATTTGCTTTACATTACTCTTTAACTAGTTGTATGCTGTGAGTATTATTGCTATTGGTGAAATTCCATGCTGTCTTGCTTTTGCCCATACTTTTTCATTCTTTAAAAATTTCATCTGGCTTTGGTCGATATGTTTCATCTCTTTTTTCCCTGTGTCTTTTGTGTCCATACAAATTTGCATTGCAAAGGATTTACAGTTTAACTTCATGACTGATTACCTGCTTGATCCAAATTGGCACAACGTTTAAGATCAATTACAAGAATCACATTAACAGTGGTTTTAATATTTTGCCAGTCAACCATGGGATATGGTTCATTCTTGAGTATTCTATGCTAATAAATACTACTAAGATGATATCCAATTGCTAGAAACTCCAGCTTGTAATTTATGAGAGAAGTTTAATAAGTGGACCAGATAAAATAGAGGTTTCTGAAGAACTTGACATGCTATCACTATAAAGCAGGGTATTTAAAAATTCATGGTACTTGTGTAGTTGACGTGGAGACATAATTTTTTATTAATGACAGAATTGAACTTGCTGCAGTGACTGATTGCACTAAGAACAGCCCTGACAGGTAGTTTAAAGGTTTCAGATTTCTCATAGATTGCCATGTTACAACCAAATATGGTAGAAGAAATGCAACATTTTGAGAAATTAAATAAACTCAAAAAAAAGAGAATATGAACAGCAGTTAAAGTCTCTTCGACCCGAAGTGAAGTTCCTTATTCGTATTTATCCAGTCACTGCTGGATCCTCACAATGATCCGGAAAGGTCAGCACCGGATCAGTCATGATGTAATGATTTGTGATTGACTCTTGGAAATGTCAAGTCCTACCACATGCAAGGATGAAAATTTTGTTTCATTTCCACTTAAATAACCAAAATGGAAACTAAAACAAATCAGATATTGAATATCAAAATTTCTATGTTTCGCATTTTTTCGACATGTTTCGATGTGTTCTGCTATGTTTTGACCATTATTTTGGAATGTTTGAAAAACAACTTATAATTTTTTTTCTCTGCTTCCACTGTTTGCGAAGCATTGCTGTGACTTTCCCATTTCCGAATCAACCAAAACTATGCACCAAAATAAAATTTTGTTCTTTGTTGACAAGTTTTGAACCTTGTACAACCTAGCACAATCTTCCTTACTTTTGTTTGCAACGCTGGCTGCATGGAATGGGGAAAGTTGTATCCCTTAAAATGGCAGATTTGGACTGCAAGAAAACACATTATAGTGGAAATGAAACGAAACATTGCCTATTACGTCATTTTAGTGTTCCAGACACCTAAATATTGTTACTGCCTTCCAGGGTTTTTGTGGTAATCAGAATAGGTAAATGGGACAAGGTTCTGAATTTTGACCAAATAAAAAAAAATGAAAGGTCGGCCTCGATGATTTTTTTGTTCCAGGTACCTGCCATTGGCTGCCAGTGGTTCTCTTCCCCTTTGTTAGATGAGACTTTTGGAGGAAAGGTATCCTCCCCCATTTTGGAGGAAATATATATCCCTTAATATGGCAGAGTTCTGGACTACAAGAAAACACATTGTAATTTTGTGGATATATGAGGTTAAAGACCAGTTGTTGCTGGTATATCTTGAGGCAGAGCATTGTCTGTGGTGTTTTAGTGTTTTATACAAACTAATATTGTTGATCTGTTCCAGGGTTTTTGTGGTAATCAGCATAGAGGTTCTGATTTTCATGTAGAAAGTTAAAATTTTACGTAGGATTGGCCTCAATAATCTAATTGTTGCAGGTGCCTGCTATTGGCTGCCAATGGTTCTCTTCCCCTTTGTTGGATGGGACTTGCTTCGCTGAGCAAATATCTTCTTCAAGAACCTTTTGCATTTATGAAGAGGTTTGTTTTTTCAGTTATCATCATTTCAATAAATTTTTGTTATTATATTCTTCTTTTGTTGGCGTTTTGCTGTTTAATACACATCCCCATTGTTGATTTAAGGAAATCCTGTATTATCAGCATTACCTTTCTGTAGTCCTTTCTGCCTGGTGAGCTGTCTTGATGGTGTTTGAAAGCAGATCTAAAGCACAGCTTTCATAAGGGTATAGAGAAAATTATGTATAGGCTTTTGACATATTTTATAAGGCAAAGTAATAGTCCATCGAATACTTGTATTTCAAATTGCTTTTGTTTTTTTTGATTAAATCACTGACATGTAGGACCTTTTCTTTCCCCTAAGGCAGTCAATGGGTCAGACGGCGATCTTAATGTGACTCGAACTGGAATTAATTAGATCAAGATCCAAATCACAGATTGCGATACATGATTCGAAAATGTATGCATGCAATTTAAGTGACTTGACTGTAATCACATCCGAACTCAACAGGTTTATTTGATAACTTGTTTTGTTATTACCTTACATCTTACACCTTTTTAAAAACACTTATATTCTTACTCCCTCTCAGATATGGACTTGGACAATAATTGAGATCTTTGTATACAAGAATTGGTTTGGATTCAGGTCTTGGCAGATCTGCAAGAATCTGTACTGCTGACAGACCCACTTCCCCTCCACCCCCTCTATATTCTGTCTTTTTAGTTCATTCATTTTTGGTGATTTTCATAAACCTCTCTGTAAAACAGCGTTATTGAATTTGTGATGTCTGGAGCAAACTTAGTCTCCCTTCATTTGCTTTTTTCATCTTATATGCTGTAGAGTTTGTGCAGGTGGAGCGATTGCGTGATGCAGGACTCATTAAAGGGGGTTCAACAGAAAATGCTATTGTGTGTAGGTGAGACACCTACAGTTCATGGAATATATTTGCACAGATTTGCAGGAGTTGTCTTTTTAACCTTTGCATACCTAAAGCCCTCAGTCTCTTGGTCAAATTGACTGCTGTAGGTCTAAATTATATGGTGGCAGAAACTGCTGACTTAACCACCAATGCACAGGAAAAAGTTTGTTTTGAAATATTCTCCATAATATGTGAAGAACCACGAATATGTATTGTCTTGCATTTTCAATCATTACCTTCAGCACCTTTAGTAAAAATTATTCAAACTAAGGATCCATTGGGAAAAAGATGATATGTTGAACCTTTGACCGTCCTACAGTCTGCTTCTTTTAGGGCAAAAAGAGAATACAAAATCAGGATATGCAGATGGTTCAGACAAAGTATATAAAGTTTTTGAAACTTAATTGCAAAAGCATGATCTTTTAATGCCAAATCTCAAAAGTAATGCTGCCTAGTCTAGTTGAATGAAATTCAACACCCGATTAATACAGTAATATGGCTGACGAGGTCGCCTTGATGTTATATATTTACCTTCACATGGGCAGACATTTACCTTGGACCCAATTTCATCCGAGTTTGCCAAGGAGTTTCATGTCAGCGCGTTAACATGTTAAAATCCTGGTCACTTTGCAGTGAGTCATGAAAAATTTTGGATCTAATTAATTTCCTTGACCAAACTGTGGTTTGAATTTTGACCTCTCTTAAGACAAAGCAACAGACAAGACAACAAAAGACACAAGATAAGTCTGTCCATCTTTAAATATGCAACTTTCACCACATACAAGACAAATGTCACCATCTCATTAGTGGAAGCTGCACAGCCACATGCCAATCTCACGTCAAGCACCTCTAAAGCTAGTAAATAATGTTCTTCTCGAAGGCTTTCAACATGCACTGCTTTCTGGGCACTTCCCTTTGAATCCCAGGATGGAGAATTTAACCAGAAGATTTAAGCATTTCAAAAATTATGTGAAGATGATCAAAAATTGTTCTTAGTAGAAGTTGATGAAGTATCAAGAGGAGAGACAATCAAGATTACAGAGAGATCTCGTTTCGCAAGTTTTACTATTATGGTTGGATTGGGAGGGGTTTCTTGCTCTACAGTGTGGTTAAGGAGTCGTGCTCATGGAGCAGTCCGGAATTGTTTTCAGGAAGTTCCACAACAAAGAATATCATTTTTGGTTTGAACTTAATTCTAATAGGTTTGGTAAGTTCCTCACGATATTCTAGATCCATTCTAATAGTAACAGGCATTTTATTTCTATTCCTTAGGGAATTGATTTTAATGGATGGAGAAGGTTTTTTTAAGGATAAAATTGATGGGATTACAAATTATTCCCGGAATGCATTCGAAAAAACGGGTGGAGTCAAGATATTTGAGGATATAGTGAATGAATATGTGATTAGAGGAAGTAACCTTCAAGATGCCTATGGTTTTGGTAAATGGATGAGTGTTGTTGTGTACTAGGGAGAGTATTTTCATTCCTTGGCGGTGGATTTGGCATGCCTTATTTAGTAAGTTCAAATGTAAAATTGTGTTGAATTCATTTCACGTGAAGTTTTCAATCTCAGTAAGTGTTATGCACAATGATGTATTGTGATGAGATTGTGGGAGGTGTTGGTGGGTTTATATAGTCTTTGTAGTCCTCGTTGGTGCTTAAGAGGTGATTTTAATGTTGTATTTGACAAAAAAATTGAATGGGATGATGGTGATTAGGAGTATGAGGGACTTTATTCTTTTATTAGGGAAACAGGACTTAAAGGATCTACCGTTGGGAAATGGTACTTTTACGTGGTTAAATTTTAGAGAAAATTCAGTTTGTAATAGATTGAATAAATTTGTGTTCTGTAAGGAGGGGGATGAATGTTTTCGGAGGGTAATACTAGAGACTCTGGCGGGAGTAGTATCAGATAATTGTCCCATTATGGTTGGTTCATACAAGGTGAAGTGGAGTCCATCTCTTTTAGGTTTGGAAATATGTGGTTAGAACAACATTCTTTTAGAGGACATTTTAAGGAATGGTGGGAGGAAGAGATTTGTGAGGAATGAAAAGGTTTTAAATTTATGAAAACATTGGAGAATGTGAAAAAGGAAGTGAAGAGTTGGAATAAGAATTGTTTGGAGATATTAGGATCACAAAAAATTAAATCATGAATAGAATTGGAGATATTAATAAAATTGAGGAGGGGGGGCAAGAAGAGAATTTGAGGAAAGCAAAATGGGAGTTAAGGAATAGATTTGAAGAGATGGTATGAAATGAAGAAATTAGTTGGAGACAAAAAGTCAGAATGAAATGGATTAAAGAAGGGGATAATAATTTTAAGTTATTTCATGGAGTAGCAAATGGAAGGACAAAGAAGAAGTACATTGATAAATTGGAATTGGATAACGGCGAGATTATAGAAGAAACTGAGGATGATTGACCGATATCAGAGGGGTTGGAGTGGAGTCCTATTGAGGAAGATAAGTTTAGGTGGTTGAAAAAACCTTTTGTGGAAGAATCGTGACAAGGTTTTGGGACCCAATGGATTCACTTTTGCTATGTATCAAGATTGTTGGGATATAGTGAAAGTAGATTTAATGAAAGTCTTTAGTGAATTTTTCCGGAATGGTGCGATCAATGCAATTGTCAATGCAACTTTTATTTGTTTGATTCCAAAGAGAGACAAGACAATGAAGATGAAGGATTATAGGTTGATTAGTTTGGTGTTTAGTCTTTATAAAATAATTGCAAAAGTTTGGCCTTTAAGATTAAAAAAAACATCGAGTGGTATAATTTTTGAGTGTCAAGGGCTTTTGTTAAGGATAGACAAATTCTTGATGTTGCTTTAATGACAAATGTTGTGGAGGATTATTGTCATAAAGGTAAGTAGGGTTTTGTTTTCAAAATCGATTTGAGAAAGCATGTCATTATGTAGGTTGGATATTTTTGGAATATGTCACTGGCAAGGATCAAAATTTCGTTTCGAAGTACCGTTTCGGTCAACTCAAAAATAGAAACGTTTCGGAAACATTTCGGAAATGCAATGGAAACGCAGAAAAAATATGGAAACGCATAGAAACACAAATGCAATCCATTAATTTATAAAGATATGCTAAATAATTTATTAATTCAACATATTTATTAGGTTAACATCAATTTATACAAGAATAAATTTAAATTTGAGGGAAAAAAAGGCTTGACTTGAGGCGAAAGTCACTTAAATTAGTTTCAAACACTTAATTTTTATGAAATAAACACATTTTTACATAATATTAACGTCTTATAATACGCATGAAATGCTAATGAGTGCATACTTACATGATTACATTCATTCCCCTGTGGAGTGTCGAGCAGGCTCATACATCGGTGTAGGCTCTGGGTAGCTACTTAGAGAAACTCCATATGTGACATAAATATGATGACAATAGTTACTCCAAATCATATTATTACGGTAATATAATCCAATTAATAATACTATTTTATTATAATACTAATAATGAAGGGTATCAAATTAAATTAATGATACTTATGTATACTTAAAAATTAAATGTAATTGCAGTGGGTATTAAATGTAATTACAGTAGGTATTAAATATAATTACATTAGGGTATTAAATGTAATTGTTAATACTTATAACAAAAAAAAAAGCAAAAAACTTGCACAGCAGTGAGGTATTAAATATAATTACAGTATGTATTAAATATAATTATAATGGGTATTAAATATAATTATAGTAGGGTTTTAAGTGTAATTATTTATTCTTATAACAAAAAAATTATAAAAGACAGAAGAGCAGTGGGAATTAAATGTAATTATAGTGGGATATTAAATATAATTATAGTGAGTATTAAATGTAATTACAGTGGGTATTAAATGTAATTATAATGGGGTATTAAATGTAATTATTCATAATGAACCGAATATATCACTGTTTTGTCGAAACGGTTCGAAACAATGCCGTTTCGACCGAAACGGTCCGAAACAGTACCGTTTCGACCGAAACACTGGAATTTTGTGATTCAACTACTGTTTCGTTTCGGAGTGTTGAAATTCCGAAACGTTTCGGACGTTTCGGACGTGTCGACACGACATTTTGATCCTTGGTCACTGGGGTTATGAAGTGTGGATATGAATACGATGCGATATGGATACAACGATACGTGAAAATTTTAAAAATTAAGAAATGAGTACGACTGGAATACGTTTATATAAAATATATTTTTATATTTTATAGTTATTTAATTTTAAATTATAACTCTTATTCAATTCTTACATTAGCGGTAAAAAATTCAAGTGATTGTACAAAGCAAGTGTGTAGAAAAAAAAATGTTACAAGTTGAAGTAGTTTAACACTATCTACACGTGTACACAACAAGTGCATAGTAAATGTATTCCACCTCATTAATCTTTTCCTTTTGAAGAATTTGGGCTCATATTGACTTTATTTTTCTGGTCTTGATCTGTTTTAGTATTCTTTCATTTGAAGTTTTCATGTTCCTCAAATGCATTTTTTTCTATTAGAGCATCCAACCCAAAAATATCAACTAGCTATAAGCGGGGTGACCCCTCAAGTGTATTAACCAATCTTGGGTCTACTTAATCATTCGATGTGGGAAAGCATTATTTACTCATTCCCTCACATGTGACCCCATCTTGCACGTTGACAAATACTAACGGGGAATTCAATTGGGTGATAGATGACGTGGGCCACAAACCACCCAAGGCTCAGCTTTGATGCTATGTTTAGAAAATTCAACCTAAAACCAATTAGCTACAAATGAATGGTCACTCAAGAATATAAAGCAACCTTGGTTTGCTTACTTTTTCGATGTGGGATAGCTTTCGTTATATTTTCTTAACAGAGTCATGGATTTAATGGAGCACCATATTAAATCGGGAGGATCCTCAAAATACTTTATTGTTTTATTTTTGTTGAGCTATAATCATTCAAAATTTTGACCTTAGAAGCCAGAAGCATATGTGTTGGAGCAGTAGTAGTTTCTTTTTGAAGAAAACTTCATCCACTGATCCTCTACAATATATGCTTATGTAAAGAAAGATCGCAAAGGTGTTTCACAAGTTGTTCAAATTACGGGGCTTTGCATTGAGGGTGCTTGCATTTTCATAATTTGAATTGTGAACTAGGCTATCTAGTTTCTTTATAGTCATGGGTATGAATTTTATATTGATCAATCCAAAGTATAATAAATGAAAAGTTCAGGATCGTTGTTTGTTTTTATTGCTTTTGTTTTCTATATTAATAAATATTCTGACATTTCCAGAGTGAGATTAATGAATTTAGAAGTTGGCAGATGGTTGGTTTGTGTGAATGAGGGCTTTAATGACCTTCTATCTTTGTTCTGAATCAATATTTGCTTTCAATGAATTGACTTAGCCATTGTATTTTTCCAGTGGCAGTAGAGGTTGGTTGAATCCACCACTGCGTTACCATGATGAGCCTTGTCGACACAAGGCTCTGGATCTTATTGGCGACCTATCTCTTTTTGCACGAAGTGGTAGTCAGGGGCTTCCAGTGGCGCACATAATTGTTTACAAGGCATGTTCCTTCTCTGTATTTTTGTTCTAATTTATATCACTTATAGAAATGCATTGGAAATCTGTGGTTCATGGACAGTGAACTTGAATTAAAATATGGACCGTACACATGATAGAAATGTGGGAATGACTCTGTGCTTGTGTTTCAAATGGAAAATACATATATGTGTGTATATATTATATGTGTGTGTGTGTGTGTATTCACTAGAATACATATATTGTACCCAGTCAAGTTGAGGTTGTTGGTCTGAAACCGAGGGAATCACTATGAGCAAAAAATGTGTCAGGATTGCACTCAGCATAGCCGTCTCAGAATCCATTAGTGGGGTCTAAATGGGATGTTATACACACTAAATTTTGTTGGAGATCCAATATTGTTATCATTGATATTCTACTTCAGTAAGTCCTTGTCCCAATTGCTTGGGTGGCCTTGTAACTTGTGATCTCCCAGAAGCAATTATCCGCAACTTTCTGTTCAATTATATGAGCAATTTTGATGGTGTTTCAATCTTATTCACTCATGATTTTCTCATTTGAGATGATGAAATTACTTGGTAAGTGTTTCTTAACCATCAACATAGCTCATTTCACCTTAAATCACAGTTCTCTGTTCGCCAGACTTTCTCTTGTCCAGTAACTATTCTGTTATTGTTTTTGGGTCTGATTGGTTACTTGGATTATTTTTAAATGTCCGAATAACTCTCTCTCATCTGTTTGAAAATCATGAAGAAGTTCGGCTGTCATCCTTATAGTAGCTCTACTGAATGCATGAACGATTATCAGTACTGTCCCCTTTTGAGTATCAATCGCTTTAGTTGTTAACAATTTCTTGAACGGGTGAGTTGCAGTTGTCAATGATTGGTGGGGAGCATTTTCTTGCCGCTGTGGATGGGATATTTTACTAGTTACAAATTTAATGCTCTCTAGGTTTCCTACTGCAACCAATTTTGCTTATTCTTCAGTTCAAAACAGTTTTGGCTGAAAGCTCATAAGAAAAAGATTATATTAAATTGACTTGTATAAAATACATTCGATTATCAAATGGAAAATGTTATTTAGACTTAATTTGGGGACCTTATTTAGGAATCATTAATGTACAATCATTGGATAGATTGCGGGTTCCATCTAACATTCAAACTCACAACTAATCCAATGGTTGCATTGAAGCCACATTATTAGGTTCCTAAATAAAGTCTCCAAATAAGGTCCCTATAGCATTGCTCTTATCAAATTTGACTGGTCATGAGAATTCATCAAGTTGCAATTGAACTACTTGTTTTGCAGGGTGGTCATGCACTGCATGCTGAATTTGTTCGATCACTAGAGTTGAACCGGAAAAGTGACTGCTGGTTGTCAAAAAGCCGGTAGTTAGAATCAAATGTTATGTACTTGGCAGATTTATGAACTAAAAACAGATGAAGAGATCCCTCTTGTCAGGTATCTGTATATATAATCTAGTTTGTGAAAGTGTTGTACAGATGTTGTGTGTGTGAGGACGCGATGTTAAATAGGAAGTTTCGGATTTCCAATGTTGTTTTGTGTTTGTGATTATGGGTTTATTTTCTACATTTACAATTTGATGTTAAATTGGAAGTTTCGGATTTCCAATGTTGTTTTGTGTTTCTGATTGTGGGTTTATTTTCTACGTTTACAATCCTTCCGTCTTTGTTTTCATGTTTCTCTGCCTCGTTTTTATTAAATATAATGGAAGATTGTAGTGAAACTTATAAGAGGGAGGGACCAATCACAAGCCAGTAATCCTCTGTTTAGAGGGAGGGAGAGACCACTCACAATACAGTAATCTTCTGTTGAAGATAGAGTCTGCCGAAAATGTAGTCTTACAAATTTTATTCAACTAAGTAAATCAGTTGGATTGTTGCTCTTTTCCAATTCCTTAGCCGGCTACTACAAGGGTTTATTATAAAACAGAAACCTTAGTGGATTGCCAATTGAAAAACCACTTTTCTTCCAGAGATTGTCAGGATTGGGCATTTTTTATTCGACTAATGGAGTGAACGACTGAATGTGTTTTTTCTTATCAAGAGAATTTTGATGCGAGCTCAAGTAATTCTTGTATCATGATTAAGTGTTTTAGACAAGAAAGCCAAATCATTAATCTTACCAAAATCAATGAACGCCGACTACCATTTAGCTCTTCTAAACATCGTTATAGACAAGAAGCTTGTGCAAACTAATCCTCCACCCTGCAGATCTTGAGCCACAAACTAAAAGAAACTGAAATACAAAGCTGGAAAAATGAAAGCAAGCCTGTCCTCAAGGTTGAGATTCTTGAGGAAAAGCGGAGAATTCATCAAATACCCACCGCTCTTACACCAGGAACTGGCGACCTGGTATGGTTTCTTTCAAATATACAAAAGTCTCAACTCCCACGAGCAAAAAGACTATTTTCGTAACTCGGAACACATTTGAACTACTTACCACTGTACAGGACCCACAATCTGTATACCACTTGTCTTCCAAGTGTCTCAATAATTTTTTTGGTCTTCCATGTACCAACCAAAGAGAATTGATATTAATTTTACTACTGATCTCAAGAAATCAACAGAGAAAATGTACAACTAAAATACAATCACATTTTGCTGGTAAACCCAAGGTCGGCTGTGTTGTCTATTATTCATATACATACAACCATACATACACATATGTATACGTTCTCTTCTTCCAACTTAGCAACCGAAAAGAAATGTAGCCAACGAGAGAAACAGGTTGGATGAAACACACCTCAGACATCTAGAAGCAAGAAGCAACTTGAACAGAGGCAATAAAACACCTCAGACATCTTCAAAAGGTTGAAACTACACTAATGAAGCTTTACTTGAATGAATGTGAAAACTTATTTTGATAAGCACAAAGGTGAGTGTATTTCAAGCCTTGATTTCTCCTGCATAATCAGATGCAACAGGTGGATACCCAAACCTGAATTGTCTACTTCGTGTGATTTTTCCCTCTCCTTTCTTCAAACCTGTTCATTTCCCTTGAGAATGTTGTACTTGCAGAGAGGACATGTTGCATTAGTTTTAAGCCATTTCACAATGCATGTTGAATGATAATGATGGTTGCAGGGGAGAGCATGCAGCTCTGTTCCATCCTCATATGAGTTGAGACATATACAGCATTCCTAGAAAGATACAAATAACACTAGTGAAAAAGTACAAAAAAAATGTCCTTTGGGAAGTAGGTAGCTGGTAATTATCACAATCATTACATATTTACATTTGTCGTTATTATTCAGGGGTTTTCAACTCCCAAATAGATGAACTATGCATGCATGTGCCTTCTCCTATCACAGGATCTGTGACGACTGACCTTTATATCAGTTGACATGGCCTGGTGTATGCTTAGTTCCACTAGAGAGTTATTGGAGTGCTAGCTAGAGGGCGGCCCCATGAAGAGGATGTGTATTTTGATTCCTTTAGCTTTATATTGGTGTGTGTGGGATAAAAGGAATATCATGAATTTTGAGTGTACAAAGATGCCCATGGATAGGCTAAAACAATCCCTTTGGAATATTTAATTTTGTTCGGATATAGGGTTTCTACCCAAAGGGCTTAGTCCCAATCCTATAGTTCCTTGGAGGAGATCATAGTAGTTTGTAAAGCTTCATTTTCATACTGCAAGAGCATGATGCAGCCTCCATCTATTCATTTTTATGTGTCAAATGAAAAAAAATGCTGAAAACATAACTTGAAAAGCTTGGAATGTCATTCACAAATACTTTCTTCTTCCAATCTTGGATGGAAGCAGAAAAAATAATCAAAAAAGGGAACAAAAATCACATATTCACTACAGGTAGAAGATCTATAAATACTTTCCGAAACAAAGACCAGGAATAAAGCTACTTAGTAAAAGAAAAAGCTAATAATTGTTGAAAAATAAACTTATTTTAGAGTTTTAGTATATTATAAAGTTGAGTTAATTTTGTGTGTTAGTGAGCAAGGAATATGTAAGTAGTGGAAGACAATAGTATTAATGGGTGTTAATTTCCCAAATAATGGTGTCTTAATATTTTAGGAGTTACAAGAGTTAGTGGGTGTAGTAGTGTGTGAATGTAATGCTAAGAGTATTGGTTTGGTCCTATGTAAATAGGATAGATGTTCTAGTGTTAAGAGGTAAGTAGAGTTGAGTAGAAATTGTAGAGTCCAAGTTAAATGTGTGATTGTAATCAACTTGTACGATTTTTTTTTTTTAAGTGTTCATATCCTTCTCTACTAATTTTAATTTTATTTCTAATCCTCTTGACTCCAATAAAGTGGTATCAGAACAATTTTTCAACCAAAGTAACATTGGAATAATTTCAACAAATTGGTATCAGAGCTAGCACCAATCCTAAAAGATAACTCTCTATTAGAGCCAGTTTTACAGTCCTAGAAACTAGTTAACTCTCCATCACAACCAACTTTTGATCCAAAATCTAAAAAGCTCCCTTTCAGAGCCAGTACAATCCTTAAAGTTTCACCAAATATGTGTTTTTGGTGTGAAAATGTGATGTTCGCTAATTACAAGAGAATGAAAATTAGTTTTTATCTTAAAGTATGTTATTTATGAGATGTGATTGAAGAAAAACCAAGGAGTGGCTTGCTTAGAAGAATATGAGAGAAGAAAGTGGAAAAGACACTCGGAGTTCGTAAGTCAGCTATTCATCTTGAGATTTGGAAGTTTGTAGGAGATTCAAGTTCTTCAAATCATGTTTGGAAGTTGATTGAGAGTATTGTCTCCAAACAAGAAGGTGAGTTTTTACCCTAGGAGTATTGAGTTCAATGCTTTGAAGAAGATGAGTACGTAAAAAAAAAAAAGAGTGATTTTGAAGACACACTAATGAAGAATCAAGAAAAGCATCATATTGATGAAGTGAAAGAAGTTGAAAAAGTTAAAATTGAAGTTCAAGAGACTAGTGACGATGATGTTGAAGAGTCAACTCAAGAAATGAAGAAAAAAAAGAAGTTTGTGAACAAGTTAAAACAAAAGTGAAAGAAATTGAAGAAATTGCGAGGAATGAAGATGAAATCAAATATCTTGTCACGGTAAAAGATGGTGAGACAGAATCCTATGAACTAGTCTCGAAAGATATTTTTCCAATGAAGCATGAAAGTGAAGATCATCTTGACGGAATGTTCGAAAACAAGAGTCAAGGTAATGATTTTCTAATAAATTGCATGAATCATTACTTACAACTTTGTGTACAAAATGTTTTAAGTAACACAGGTTGGGTGAAAATGTTTTAAGTAGATGGCTTTGAAGATTCTTGCAATTGAAGGAGGTGATGCTTAAGTCCATAAAGTTTATAATAATTCCACGAAACCTCTCTATCATGAAGTGATTTGCAAAATAAGGACTTGGAGGTGCAAAATTAAGTTTGGAGGGGGTGTTTAAAAAATAAACTTGTTTTAGAGTTTTATTATATTATTAAGGTGCTTTAATTTTGTGTGTTAGTGGGGCAAGGAATATGCAAGTAGTGGAAGATAATAGTTTTAGTGAGTGCTAATTCTCGAAGTAATGGTGTCTTAATATTTTAGGAGTTACAAGGGTGGGTGTGGTGGTGTGTAAATGTAATGCTAAGAGTAATGGTTTAGACCTATATAAATAGGATAGATGTTCTAGTGTTAGAGGTAATTAGAGTTGAGTAGAAGTTAAAGAGTCCAAGTTAAGTAAGTGATTATAATCAACTTGTATGGATTGATTTTTTTTTTTTCGTGTTCATATCCTCCTTTACTTCTTTCCATTTTATTTCTAGTCCTCTGGACTCCAACAAAGTGGTATCAGAAATTTTTTCAAGCAAAATAACATTGGAGTAATTCCACAATAATTGCATTTGAAAATTAAGAAAATATTGATCTTACAAGAAAACATCTTTTACTACTAGGCAGCGAGCTTGCATCTTCCCTCTTTCAGGTTCAAGAAAAGAAACAGAGAAAAAAATAAAGCTATTCTGTTTGATTTGGAATCACATTAATAACATCTTTTATCAAGTATTTTGAGTTTTCAACTAATTATTACTTCAACTTCAGATAGAACTGCAGACAACAACCTATAGCTTACAATGAGAAATGAAAAAAGCAATTTATATAGACCTACCAAAAGACAAAAAGAAGATGATATAGGTTATGGACCTGGTGAAACATGTTAGTGAGGCTTGCCTCTTTTTACTGGTTGAAAAAGAAAAACAAGAGAAAATAAAGCTTTTCTTTTTAAATCTAAAACCGCATCAGTAACTTCATTTTTTGGGCTCCTTTCCGTTTTCCACTACCAGTTGTTCCCATCATTCAAATACCATGGGTTATGGACCAAGTGAAACATATGCGTTGGCATTTTCATGGAAAAGCAATAACTTACTGCATCTTCAGGTAAAAGAGTCTGTTCGTTTGCTAAGTATCCACTGTGTGTTTCCAAAGGAACCATTCTACCTGCTCCTATACTTTGCTTCTCCTCCTCACTTGAGATTTGAAATGTGTACTTTGGAAGGATACTGAGATCTGCCTCTGATGCACCTTCCTATATAATCGCTCAACAAGAAAAAACAGCAGTCCAATCAATTAGCTCGCTTACTAGTAGATAAATATTAGTTGCGAAAAACCCTCATTAAATTGAGTTGGATTAACAGATAATTAGTTGCCCATAATCCACTACATATTGTTACCTGGCCTGCAACGGCATAGAGAATGGCAATAATGCAGGGCAAGCAGCAACAAAGAGCGATCCCTATCAAACATGCCAAAACAACACAAAAGATGGCGAAGAACACATCGAATGCCAGAAATATCACAGCCAACCTGCAGCAACTCAAAATCAGATATCGGGGTATTTCTCTAAAACTTTTAAGGGCGTGCTCTCATTATTTTTTATTGATTTCTTTATCCCTGACATGTAGGTGCATGCTCTCATTAGGAAGTTAAACAAATTAATTGGTATTATATATTTTTTGTCGGACGGGGTGCCAAGGAGATGCAAACCACGAATTCATTGGTTAATTCTCTCAAGTTTTATCTAAAGTTTCGACATTCAAGAATGCTAACCATGCCCAGGCGCTCTCTAACACAGAGGTCCCTGAATTAGGAGATTGGTTGATCGAAAAGCTCAAGTAGGAGTAGGACATTCCATACAAATCTTTCCACTCCACTAGCTTGCGCTAGTTCTCAAATCCCATTTTTTCAGTAACTAGTACAGTGAATTCTAAGGTTCCTTATTCGAACCACTGAATAAGACAAACAGAAGGTGTCCTCTGCTTCTATCCAAATGGTCTCATTTATGAATTATCTATAATTAATAAAAGAGTGATATCCTTGATAAAGCTTGCTAATTTCCAATAGCAATAGTTACATCATAATTAATTTCTTCTTCTTTTCTCAGGGTAAGTTATATTATTAACAATTACAGGACAGCCGAATGTGCAACTCTAATGGAACCAAAATGCAAAATTTATAAATGCTTTTCTTTTATGTCAACAGTCATGGACTAATAAAAAGTTAATAGAGGCTTTTCCATTTTTCCAATTTATATATATGACAAAGAAAATTAGGACAAAATCAATTCATGTCAATCCACCTCTCCAGATACAATATCATAACAAGACAAATCACAAGAAATTCGGGCAATGTAAGATGAAGAAAAAGAGCAAAAGTTAATAAAGGAAATGACTGACATCATACATCAGCCTGACTGAAAAAGGAACAATTTCATGGACATTTTTCACTATTTCAAAGAGATTGTCCATATTTTAGGAAACCAGATATTTCACTCCAATAAACAGGAAAAATTCAGGTTGACAGATTTTGACGAAAATATATGCGTAACGGTCAATTTGGCTAGATTCAGACGAAATAAATTATCTTGGGACCAAATTATTTGAGACATACCAATATAGACGTCGAGCACTCCGCAGAAGAACTTCTCCACCAGATACTACCCAATAGAAGCCAATTATCCACCAGATAAATGATGCCATCGTATTCACAGATTCACATCGTTTAGTAATACTGAAATGTCCATAAAACAAGGAATTTGTCAAGAGTAACCCCCTGCAGATGCTCTAGCACAATAACAACTGTGGTCATCAAAGAAACCATTATAATAACAGACACTGCAAGGCATGAGAAGAGAGCCTAGTCTTCTTTAGATTGGAATAAGCATTTCATTTGCTTCAGCAACCCAAACTTGAAGCTTATTTTGCAAAGAATGTCTCTAACATCTTTCCCGTTCCCGTGCTGGCCCATGCACTAGGCCAATGCCTAGGGCCCCCAAATGGGAAAGAAATTTTGGGACCCCAAAATAAATTTGTGTACAATGTTATTAGACTTCATTTGATAATTTAATACATTTAGATCCAAAAAAAAAAAAACATTGAATAAGTTCACTAGCAATAGGGACCATTTCGCCCGTTGAATTAGTAATAGGGACTAACATTGAATAAGTTCACTAGCAATCAATTAATCACAATTTACTAGGTGTCAAAATTAGGTCCCCAGATTTTTTTTTTGGTCAACAGATCCCTAAATTAAATACAAGTAATATTATTGTAAAATATTTAGGGCCCTAGAGTTTGAGCTGATTTTTTTTTCTTCCCCAATGTTTATGGTATACAAAAAATAAGTTATCATCTAATAAAATATTTTTTTTATCTTATTATCAAAATACCTAATAAAATATTCATTTTGTTAGCTAGTCTAAATTTTCATTCTCTATATCTTTATCTTCAATAGATATCTAACTTAATTACATTTGGTCAATGATTCGAATTTTATTAATTGGATTTTAATGTATAAAATTTCAAAATTTTAATTAATATTTATGGATCTTAAAAAAAAACACAAATAAATAAATAAACATATTTATTTTTTGACAATTATTTATTATTATTTATACGCCCGTAAAATATATTCATAGGGCCAAATTAAAAAATTTCACCTAGGGCCCAACATCTGCATCTTTACGGTGCTTCTATAAATCAACCAAGGCTACCTGACGCTTGCCCATAGCTTTATGGTCAAATAATGCCTTCATATAAAAGATATCACTCTTTTTTGCAACGCGACTCATAAGATAACAATAACCTTCACAAAGTCCAATCAGCCCTATTTCTACAATATTTGGACAGTTTGTTAATCAACACCACAATACTGTAGAACTGGGCAGATGGAACTTTATAAAGATTCCTATATCTTATCAGGTAGCTTATCAATTTAATACATTTTTCAGGCATATCTAGGGCACCACCATCTAGCCACAATCATCACTACTAACTTGCCAAATCTGAAAAAGTCATCATTGAGTTACCACCACAACTTACACAACCTCAACAGCATCATCACGGGCATTACTGCCGCCGCCGCCATTATGATTGTTAGTAAATGATGGGAAAGTTTCAACATGTTGTAATAGACTCCCTATCAAGGATTCTCGACGTTTAGTAGGTTTATAAGAGAAATTAGGTGTTCGTTGCAATGGCCCAAATGATACATGGTGCATTCAATATACATGGAGGAAACCTGGTTGATCATTGACAGTGTTCTGAACATATTCTAACCTTGATTCCTGCATCACAAACTTGGATTATGCAATAGCCTTTAAATTCATAATAAATCTTGCACTACAATCTTGGAATCACAACTCTATTTTAATAGTTGGCTATAGACAGGAACAATGTACTCTTGAACATATGGCCACTATCGCCTTATAGATAGCATTCTCTAGAACTAGTGCATCAAATTACCATTGCAGCAATCTTATTTTCTCAACAAAGTTCTTCACATCCCATAAAATCTAACTGTATATAGTAAATCTTCACACTTTTATTATAAAACAAGTATAGCTTTCCATGCCGACTAACTGAATACTGATTTTACCTAAACATTGATTCTGCATGGATGAAAATTACTAATAGTTGTAGCGAGTTTCTTGGCACATTCCGTCTAACACTCAGGTACCATCATCGCCATTAACATTATACACTGGTGGAGAACTCAAATCAATTAAACTATCTTGTGATGCATCAGGACTAAAGTTGTTCTGGGAGATCTGTTGTTCAAGACTAACTACAGTAATTTGCTGGTTTATGGTTAACATAGGCAATCTCCATAAAAAAAATTTCACTATTTTTAATTTATCTGAAAGTACATTTTGGTGCAATTAAAGTTTTGGTTGCCTTTTTGAACTCATACATTTTTCGCTTTGTTCCTTATTCAAAAGATTATTAAGAATTTGGGCTGACCCATTAAAATTTGACCTCCTCCAACTTTTCCACAATTTTTTGACAATTCTTGCTGAACTATTATGTAGCCAGTCTCATATACATTTTTATCAAATTCATTCCTGAAAAGATATGAAACTTATATTTAAACAGCTCCCTATCACATACAGGATCATGATGAATCTCCCCCTCTGCCTGCCTTGAAACTGGATACCACAGACCCAACGAATTTAGAATTTTCATCCCAACATCATTGATGTTCTTCCCTAACCCCATCCTGTAGGAAAAATACTATTCATGGAACATCTAAGCCCCTCATGCTACATACCTATCAACAACCACTAATTTCCAAGCCTTGTCTTCCACTCCATACCTCTACAATCATGCCCTAGCAAAAGCGCGAGTGAAACACTGCATTCTCCTGAATCACAACTCCCGTTTCAAAAGTGAAGACCTCAACCTTCCATTCAACTCAAATGGAATTGAAACTCATCTCCCATCCCGCCCCTAAGAAATCCCATCCAAGCTTCTTTACCCTCTACTCAACTGAAGCTGGCATAGGGAAAAGGAACATAAGTAAGAAGCCTGATGAATTACTTCTGACCAAAGTGACCTTTTTCCCTTCAGAAATATATTACTATGACCACCTTGCAAGCCACCTATCAAATCGCTCCACCACCAAATCCCAGACATTCAAAGGAAGCATACTTTGCACAATTTATCCGAAAGGATAGAGATTGTTATGTCATTTCCTACTTTCTTCCAGTATCAGTATTGGTGGTTACATTTCTACCAATAAACGCCATACAAATTATCTTGCATTGGTTATGGCACCCAACAACCAGAACCATTTCTCATTAAGTATAATGTCCTCATTGAAAATTGTTTACTATCTCCATTCAATGCAAGACTATTGAACATGATCACTTCTTCAGTATCCTAAAAAATTATTTCTCACACAAGGAATAGATTTTTAGGTATTGATACTTATGATTCCATTTCTTTTGAGAAAAAAAACATGCAAATTACTTTGTTTTGATTTTGGCATCAAGCCATCCACCATTATTTCTCTTTTAATTGCAAGGTCCTTGCAAATTTTTATTTGGCATGAGATCCTCAAACACAACTTTTTAAGTAATATGAAGGAATCAATTTTGAACTACACCAGTTCATCCATTTCCAGCTTAACCTTCAAGATCTTAGCAATAGTATGGCACAAAATCAAGACACAATGATGGGTAAAAAATATCATTAGGTAAGTTGTGTTCTCTTTAGTTCAGTTTGATGGACTCACTCATAAGTGCTCTGCTAGCATTTTTTGAAATAGGCTAGACAATGAATTGGATTTCGATTTCAATCCAATCTGAATTCAAATCTCAATATCCTGAGATGGACTGACTTTTTACACCAGTAATCTGAATCTGTTGTTATTCTAATGGATTTGGATATAGTGGAACTCAATCTATTACTGATTTGACCCAAATTGATTATTGTAGAAAGAATTTGTATCACACATTAAATGACTCGGACCACCCAAGGTTGATTTATATACTTGAGGGATCACTTCAACTATTGCCAACTCATTTTGGGTTGGATGTTGTAACATGATATCAGAGTTGGTGGTCAGTGGGCCACCCATTTGAATTTTTCGTTATAAATGGTTGTTTATTTGTTTGCCCATGTCCGAGTCCAATGGGGAGGATGTAAAGAGAGCTTATTCCACATCAAATGGCTACAAACACACAAGGTTAGTTTATATACTTGAGGGGTAACTCCACCAATTTTCAATTAGTTTTGGATTGGATACTCAAGCAATTATCACATATATACACTATATACAAGGATCAAAATGTCGTATCGACACGTCCGAAACGTTTCGGAATTTCAACACTCCGAAACGAAACAGTAGTTGAATCACAAAATTCCAGTGTTTCGATCGAAACGGTACTATTTCGGACCGTTTCGGTCGAAACGGCATTGTTTCGAACCATTTAGACAAAACAGTAATATATTCGGTTCATTATGAATAATTACATTTAATACCCCATTATAATTACATTTAATACCCACTGTAATTACATTTAATACTCACTATAATTATATTTAATATCCCACTATAATTACATTTATTCCCACTGCTCTTCTGTCTTTTATAATTTTTTTGTTATAAGAATAAATAATTACACTTAATACCCTACTATAATTATATTTAATACCCATTATAATTATATTTAATATATACTGTAATTATATTTAATACCTCACTGCTGTGCAAGTTTTTTGCTTTTTTTTTTTGTTATAAGTATTAACAATTACATTTAATACCCTAATGTAATTATATTTAATACCTACTGTAATTACATTTAATACCCACTGCAATTACATTTAATTTTTAAGTATACATAAGTATCATTAATTTAATTTGATACCCTTCATTATTAGTATTATAATAAAATAATATTATTAATTGGATTATATTACCGTAATAATATAATTTGGAGTAACTATTGTCATCATATTTATGTCACATATGGAGTTTCTCTAAGTAGCTACCCAGAGCCTACACCGATGTATGAGCCTGCTCGACACTCCACAGGGGAATGGATGTAACCATGTAAGTATGTACTCATTAGCATTTCATGTGTATTATAAGACCTTAATATTATGTAAAAATGTGTTTATTTCATAAAATTAAGTGTTTGAAACTAATTTAAGTGACTTTCGCCTCAAGTCAAGCCTTTTTTTCCCTCAAATTTAAATTTATTCTTGTATAAATTGATGTTAACCTAATAAATATGTTGAATTAATAAATTATTTAGCATATCTTTATAAATTAATGGATTGCATTTGTGTTTCTAAGCGTTTCCATTGCGTTTCCGAAATGTTTCCGAAACGTTTCTATTTTTGAGTTGACCGAAACGGTACTTCGAAACGAAATTTTGATCCTTGACTATATAAGAGATGAGAGAAATAAAAAATGACACTTACCTCAAGAAACCCTTCCCACTCTCCTTAATCCCCATCTCCACCATCTCAGTTTCTCCTTCTTTCTCTAGTTCTCCCTTTGGTTTTCCCCATCTTCAACATCTTTTGGGTCCTCCACTTGTACACAGTTTTCCCTATCCTACATCTATTTCTCCCCCTCTTTTGCTTACTCTTTAACTCTAATTTTTTCCTATCCACGCCTTCTCGATCCTCCCATTCTCTATAGTTTTTCCCCTATGCTCTCTACAATTATGTCTCTCTCTTTTCTCATTTAGACATTCAAATCTAAAGTTCTCTCTTTATGAGGTTTCAAATCTATGATTATCTCATTTTCGGTATTCAAATCTAGAATTTTACTAATTATAGATTCAAACTGTGGGGTTCGTTGCATTGAGAAATTGGGATTTAGAAATGATGTTCCCTTGGAATTTTTACGTACTTTTGATTTTAGACCATGATGGGTTTTAGGGTGGACTATAAGGGTTTTAGAGAAAAAGCCATCGAATTAGGGGTGAAAATTTAAGGTCACCTACTAGCTAGAGCTAATACCAATAGATTGAAGAGACTTCTTATCACATGACGAGTATGAAGCTCGTCTATGCGATTGAGAGGTGTACAGTAGACCATGAAGAATAGAACAATGCATGCTTTGAAAGAGGAGTTGCTTGAGTTGTTGGAGAGAACATGGATAGAGCTTCAGTCCATATGGTTTATTTGGTTTACAAACATCTTGACCTTAGTTTTGGGATAGGCAGTTTTTGTGCATATACTTTTTCAAGCGTTGGCTTCCTTTTTGATTGCAATGTATGAAATTGAGGATGGAATTAACTAAATTATCTAGTAAAATTGTGTTTAAATTTAGGTAACAGGTTGAAATTAACACCCGGATCGATCGAGTCAGAACTTTAGATCATGTTCGAATACAGAGTAAATTAAAACTTTCGGACATACAGAGCGAATTCAGATTCCAGTTTTGTAATTGAACTTCCATTAGGACTGATCTAGATTTGATACATAGACATGCCTAATTGGGAAACAACACATTTGAGATGATTGCCTAGCAAGATTGGCGTGTGTAACAAAACTTCTCTAACCACTAAATAGCATTGAGTTGACTTTTATAAGGTATCAAAACATAAAAACGTTATACATAGTTGTAGAACTGTCAATTTTCGACACGACACATTAACATAACACGAAATTAATGGGTCGAACACGAGATTAAACGGGTCAATGGATAAAAGCGGGTCAACATGCATAGATAAAAAAAAAATGTTACGAAAACATGATTCGGACCCGAACCCGACCTAACCCATTGATTACTCATTTATCCAAATAGATAAAAGCAAAAAAAAAACATAACCCTAACCTAACTTTCACTTTTCCATTCACAAAAAACTAACCCACTGACTAGTCTGGAGGAGAAGAGGGCTCAAGGATCATTGCTTAGTCATCGTTCAACTAGGGTTCTTCAGAAGTTGAAGCCCTCGACTCGAACTGTCCAGCAAGAAAAGATTCTCTCTCTCTCTCTCTGTTCTTTAAACCATGAGCTCTATGTGTGTTACAGTGTGTATTAGTTTAAACTTTAAACAATGAGGTTTGGTTTTTGTGTTGCCTCTAATAGATTTTGACATTTTGTGTTTCAAATTCGAATTTTGTGCATTCATACGAAACAAACACACAGACATGCACACAAATTTTGTGCTTCAAATTCAAAATTCTTTGAAAAATTCTTCAAAATTCTTTGAATTAGCTGAACATCACACATATAAATTGAACTTTCAAATTGAATTTTTTTTTCCTTCCTAGCAATTGAACAACAATTTTTCTTGTATTTGCTGAAAGGTTTGTTAAATGTGTCAAACAGGTCATGTTAACACGTTTAATGGCTAAGTCTGTCTAATATTTATACATTTCGACACAATTATTAAACAGGTCAAGTTTGTGTTTAAAGGTTTTCGACACAAACCCGAAACCAACCCCGACACGAAATGTCCCAACTCGACACATTCGACACTTCTACATAATCGAATAAGAGATGGACAAATCTCCCACTTAGTCCTCACTCACTCATGTTACTACAGATTATAGCATGAATTTCCTTTGCTACATCTTGGAAAAGACCTACCTCAACTACTACTTATGGTCCTCTAACTGCCATCATATGGTTTGTGAAAGAGCAATAATGTCAATTTCTCTCTCATAATTCCATTGCATACTTTAAACTTTTCATCCAACTTACGAAGTTTAAAAAAAAAATAGAGTTATGCTCGATAGGGGGATATGACAAT